AGCGTCTATTAACATGACGCGTGATTTAAAATGATATTTCTTTCATGGCAAGATAAGAAGAAGTACGAGGTAGATGGGCATTACATTGATTGATATCTCGCTCACACTATAGAAGGGGGTCGTGACGGAAAAATCTTACACTTTTTCTCGCCTAGCCCTCAACCGTCAAATTCGTACCGTGCGATAAGGAACTTCGTTCCAATAATATTTCTGTACCTATTCTTTTACACGTACACCCTTACCTGAATTTGTAAGGTCCACAGAGAGTATCCGGACACCGCCGCAAATGCGGTGTTCTTCGCGTTCCAAACCATACACTCCCTTCTATAGGATTCCATGGAACTCAAACGCTCAGGCGCTCAAAAGAAAATTTTTCCTGGACCCCTTGGCGGCGTTTTCAAGCCACTTTGGGTTACCCCATCGAAAACTCGCTTTGAAACGAGTGAACGATTATTAAAACGGTTCCGCTGCCGAGTTCCGTAATAGGAGCCGGATTCCCTTTCTGGAATTAGAAAAAAATGTGTGCGAGGGAGATGGAAATTATTCCATCTCGCTTACTTATAGCCACCAAGGCCGTCTACACTACGTCAGAATGGGTCGTGACGGAAAAATCTTACACTTTTTTTTCACTTTGCCAAATTCGTACCGTCCGATAAAAAAACTTCGTTAGAACAATTAATTTTATATTCTAAAGTCGGTGCTAAGACATAATGCAAAATTAAAACCCCGACTTCAGAATTTTCCTGCCATTTTCCATTCCTTTCAGTTCGGGCGTATATTGAATCCATACTCCGATATGGTATAATAGTGTGGGGTAATAGCACAGATTGGCGTAGGGTATTTATCGCACAAAAAAAGTGCATAAGGGCGATATGTGGTATCTCAACAAGAGAATCTTGTAAGCAAAGATTCAAAAATCTTTGCTTACTAACTCTGCCATCGTTATATATATTTGAGATAGGTAAATTTGTAAAACAGCATACAGCTTTATTTAAAAAGTCCTCTGATGTTAATCCAAGGCTTAAAAGAAATCCGAATAGGTTAGTTCTAAGCGAAGTTCCGAAATCAACTAAATATAGTAAAAGCTGTTTATCAATGTGTGTACCAACAAAATACCTGACGAAATTAAAACAATAAATAATATGAATTTATTTAAAAATAGACTGTACCTTTGGTTAGTTGACAAAATTTTTTATGACATTAACGAATTTCTGACATTGTAAGCCATATTCTGACATTATATTCTGGCCATTAGTGTGTTGTAATTCTGACATTGTATAATATGATTTGAAATAATGTTTAATTTGTTAATTTTTAATATCATATAGGTCATTTTTTTTTGTTTAAAGTTTCTTATTGTTTAAACTCATAATTTAAATATAATTTGCATGCTATGTCATATTAAAATAGCAAAACATGAGAGCACAATACAACTAAAACATCTGTATCTATATTTACCATGTTTTCTGCAAATAAAGATTATTATTATATTATTATTTACAATTTTTACTTTTTATTCGAACTTAATTTTTATTAAAACATATGAGAAAACATATGTTTGCTTCATCAAATTAAGGAAATCGTGAAAATTTTGTCATATCATTTACACTTAAAATTATAAGTAATTCTTTTCTCTGTTAATAAACTCCAATAGACTTCGGTCGTTCGGTTGCAAAATCACTAGGGTGAACATCGTTATTAATATGTTAAATTAAAACGCAATACAGACAATAAACTCAATAAAAACTCAATGTGAAATGTAGGTTCATATTTTTAACTGTTGATTCTTAACACTCACTTTCACATTTTGATCACTCAATACATCGTCAAGCATAACTTGTTAACTAATGTACAACATTATCCGTTCTTATTGTCTACATCTGGTAATAGACTTTCGAAAGACATTTTTGTCGTTTTAACAAAATATTGACAAGCTAAACACAACAAACTTAAACGTTATGGACTGTATTGATTGAAAATTTATTATTTTGAACTTTAATTCGTAGATTTATATGTCTTCAAATATTAAGGAAATTATTTTTGAAAATGATATCAAGAAATTTAATAGAAAATAAAACACTTCTTAAGAGAACCGCGTTGAAGTCTTTTACTTAGGAAACATGATTTGACACATTATTTCACATCCCTCCTCATTGTTGAGAGGGCAATAGAGATAAAAGACAGCATTAGTGCATCCAATCTTATCCAATCAAAGATGGATTTTGGGCAATGTATAATTTCTTTATCACAATAAACTAGATTAGTACAAATTTATAAATTAAAATTTATTAAAAATTTGTAGTAATACGTATGCTACAAATATTAGTAAATGGAGTGGTACATTTGTAGGAAACCGAATCCTCAGATAATACCAGTTCTTGATGTATATAATCTAAAAATCTGGGTATACTGACGTAAATTCTTTAAGTTGCACAGCCGCGCTGCAACTGCATTATGACTGCAGTGCGAATAGGTCCATTCTAGCGTCGAAGAACAACGTTCTTACAGAATGCCATCGTATAATAGCATTTTAATGTTGCTCCGTTTCGTTTGGTAAGTGTAGAGAACCGGAGACTCTCTTAACTGGCAATTTATTTATTTTATTTATCTATTTATTCATTACAAACACTTACAGCATAAAATGATGAAAACTTAAGACTATGACAATGATATATCAAAAAAACTGCCAGATATAATTATTTACATATGTATATTATAATTTAGTAAAATAATTACAAAAATTTCTCACAGACCGTGTACGCCCCATTTCATGTTAGTCCTCAGATATGACGTCAAATTTTGATTCTAAATCGTGGATAGATGTAACTCGCAGAAGACTGATTGAAATTTAAACTCACCCACGGGCTTGATATACTTGTATATATAGCACATGGGCAAACATCCAGACTCGGAACAATTTTTTGTAGGCCATACAAAAGCTGCTCTGTGGGGGAATCTAACGCGGGGCCCGCATCGCCTTAACCAAATCACAACGCTATAAAGCCATCAAAACAGTAAACATAGAAAATGTTGATGATAATAAAGTATTTTATTAAAAAAAAAATAATGTATTATACAATAAAATAATGAGTCTTTTTTCCATAAAAATATGTTATGATACGTTTGAAAATAACTTTTTTAGTGTTGGACAGCTTTTTTGATGCTAGTAATAAAATGAAAAAATGCATCGCTTTCACTGCGATAAGCCTTATAAGAAAGATTTGCGAATAACACAACCATTTAATAATAACAACGTAGTTGTTTTGGGAATTATTACTGCTGATTAAGTTGTTCTCTATATTCATTAAAGAAATGGCACTACAGTTAAGATTATAGATGAGAAAGAAGTAAATTTTTAAAATAATTTAAAAACTTCAATTAGATAATAGACGCAGAAGATTTAATAGACTAAGTGGATGGACCACTAGATGGAGGATCGACCCGGTAATTCCTTGGGTGGGTGTCTATGTCCAAAATTTGATTTGTAAAGTGCTATAGTTATTATAATGATTAATTCTACAACATATTATATTTATTGTATTCAATTTTTGATTTTTTTCACATCACACAACACACTTGAGATAGGTTACGCGCGCAATGTTAAGTGTTAGTTTGACATACCTATTCTAGTTGCAATATAACATAGTTATTCAAATTTAATATGAATAAATAACAAGAAACCTATTCTTGTTATTTATTAATATTAAATGATTTATAATTTCTAATTAAACGTATACATAAGTAGAATTACAACCTACATATACTCCACTGCTGGGCACGTGCTTTCTACTCATATCTGCGACGGTTTTAAGTCTAGGGACACCGCCGTGCTGCCCGATTGCGTGTTGGCGGATTTCATATATCTTTCGATTATTTTTTTTGAATTTTCTCAAATATGCAGGTTTTTTCACGATGTTTTCAATAGTACATCAACACTTAATTATTATATATCATGCTATAACAGTTTACCAATATAATATAGGTAGCAAAGCACTTCCTCTTAGTCACAAGTATGAACATTATAATGCCCCGCCTGTTAGTAGCTAACGCATTGCTCTTTTCGAAATAAAATATTCTTTCATGCTGATATGAATAGAATAAATAGTACAAGTATCGCGTCTAAGAGGAAACCGATCATTTTTTTTAGAATAAAGGTGACAACGAACACACATTTCACCTATAGTGGATACTGTGTTCCATAGATACGTACATCTATCCTTGGTTAGGAATCAAAATTCAGATGAGAACTAAGATGAAATGCCTTATTCAGTTAAAAGTATCTCCGGTTCTTTACACGAAACACAGCAGAATTAAGCTGCTATTTTACGCTGTTATTCTGTCAGATCGTGGTACATTCCTGGTCGCGCCGATCTATTTGTGCTATAATCTCATGTACAACATATTGCTCTATTACTTATGAATATAACATTTAATTAGTTAAAGCGTTTTTTATAGAAAAACCATGTGTCAACATACTCACTTAATTTTATTCTGAATATCTATGGCTAAGTACCTTTTTACTTAGTATAATATAGTGCTTGACTACAATTCCACCTCGTGGTAAGTTATGATAAACCCCTAGATCTTGAACTATCTTAGCATAACAAAATTCTATTCACTCTTGCAATAAAACCATCCGGACTTTAATTACACGACAAGACAGACGCCAGCAAATTGTTCCATTACCTTGTTGTACACATTTCGAATAACATAAGTTTTATTCCTCTCCATTTGTAATAAATAGTAATACAACCTAAGGTAATTTTTAATTTTCATGTTCTTATATTTTTTTATGGAATAAGAGTGACAAATGAGCATACAGTCCACCTGATGGTAAGTGGGTGCTGTGGACCATAGACATCTACATCTATTTCCAACTAAGAATCAAAATGCAGAGGAGTTGTGACCCCCGAGGACTTATACTGAATGCCCTATAAAATTTTACTTTTTTCACTCGTTTAGTAACATAGGTTTATTTTTAATGAAGTTTTTCTTTTCAGATCCACGAGTCCAGGGATGGTTCCTCTTCGACACTCCACTACCAACGCTCGCGATGGTTGTGGCTTATCTCGGTTTCGTTATGGTCGTGGGTCCCCTTTGGATGGCCAACAAGAAGCCTTTCAGGATACAGAATACACTTGTGGCGTACAATGCAGGACAAGTTTTGCTGTCTTTATACATGTTTTACGAGGTTAGTAAACTCTTTATTATAATGATTTCTTATATTTACGCGAAGACTACACATTAAATGAAACTAATTTTTAGGGATTTTTTCGAGCTTAATTTAACTTTTTAGCTCCCGAAGTTTCGGGTGCTTTACAGCACCCATGGTCACGGGGGATACTGAGGTGTTTGACGTCCTAATATCATAGTTAGCCCGGCCATTATTGTGGAATATTATTATTATTATTATTATTATTAATTATAGGATCCCAAGCAGATGGCAGCACCCATCCATCTTCTCTATTGAAATTAGGATGTGTTTTAATTTCAATAGCCTCGTGAATCATCCTTGGTAGAAATCGGTGTTCTTTTGCGAGTATTTGTGGTCTATCAAATCTAATGTAATGGTTGGGACGATCTTGAACATGTTCACACTGCGGATTTCCCGGAACGTTGGTGCTTCAAGTCAGCTTTATGTTCTTTCACGCGGGTTTTTATAGATCTTTTTGTTTGTCCTATGTAAGAGAGACGACATTCACAATCCAGCTTGTACACTCCTGCATCTTGTACATGAATATGACACTTGACGGATGGTGTCTCTTTACTTCGCTTTGCCCTCATCATAAGCTTGTAATCTGTTCAATACTGGATTCAAACCTCTATAGTGGAGAATTGCAAGCAGATTTAGGATTGCAGTTATCGAAGGATTTTATGCTAGACAGCTGACCATACAGTCCCGTATTCGAAGCATGCGTCGAGCCAAAATCAGTTAGTGGGTATTTATTTTTGTTAAGAAAATCTCAGTGACAGTCCAAAGTCAGAAAGTTGGCGGCGTATCGCTCCCGTGCCTCGGAATGCACGTAAAACCGTTGGTCTTACGCATGATCTCTCTCCAGTCGTGTCAGATGGCCATCCCATAGGACTATGTGAGTGAGAGAATAGAACTTGCACCTGAGCACTATAATCTTGTTCTGTGGAGATAATTAGCCTTAGTTGCTTCTGACCTGATCGTAATATCTGGAGGACATATAATATTGTACGATAAATGCGAAGTTAACCTTTTTTATAATATTTCCACCTAATAATTTTCAGCGAGATATTTTTAAATTTAAAAAATGTTACTATACTTATATCCAATTAATGATATACTTAGTCTAATGAATTGAAAAAAGTGTGACCTTAAAAGTTATACCATGATCAAAATATCTGGAGAACATTATTAATAGAGTATGAGAAATGTTATTGGTTCTAGGTTAACCTTTTTTACAATATTTCCAAATTATAATATTCAATGAGCTGTTTTATATGTAATAAATGTTACATTACTAATATCTTATTCATTATGTATTGTAACTAACTAAATCATGGGTGACCCTAAAAGTAATACTATAAATTTGGCGAAGTACCAATTGTTTAGTCTAAAAGGCTGTTTGATAATGAATCAAAAATTTTTTGATGAAGCTTATTACTCTAAAATCATAAAATATTTTTTACTGTATAGTGGCGGGGTAGTAATATCCACTACCCGTACCCATATCATTTCGTGGGTGTCGCAAGAGGTGACAGAATGAAACAAATCAGAAGATAGGCAACAGCATTTTCCTAAAAACGACTAAAAATTTAAAAAAAAACTGCGGTTGCCAACCCGCTTGCCAAACGTGGTAACTATGGCAAATATCCCACCTATGAGGTAATCTATGAGGAGGCCTTTGTTTACCAGTGAACTTTAATAGGCTGTACCTGTAACGGACTTTTCACCAAAATTAATCAAGGTTTTTATTTAACAAACATCAATCAATTATCATTATTCGTTTTCTATAATCGGTCTAAAAGCTATCTAAATTTGAAAAACATCGATATGTTCGACTTATTTTTTAAATATCAACCTTACCTAGACTCGTTGATTAAAAGACAAGAGTTTGAAAATAAATTGAAATGGTCGGTACAAAGAAAATTACAGTTCACCTGATGGTAAGAGGATACTGCAACCCATGGACACCTATCACCAATTTAAAACAAAGAAGGTTACAGATGTAACTTTTACCTGTACAGGTACAGGTCATCCCTGAGTAATAAGGTAAAATACCTCACAGCTTGCAGCAACTGAGTCTTGACATCATAAATAGATGAGAGGGTAGTATTTACCCAGAACGATATTTATAATTTGAAGGTAGCATTAGATAACTATGACATCGAAATTTGAAACACCACAGTGCCCACGGGTGCTGTAAAGCACCTGAAACTTTAGGAATTAAAAAAGTTAAAACTAAACGCGATGAAATCCGTAAAAATTTTCCGTAACAATTTTATTCAATACCCAGATGGATTTGTAGACAGGGTCCCACCAAAAGAGGCAAGATTAAAATTTTACAAGTTGGTAATAGAAAGAAGAATCACTGCAAAGGTTAAACACCTTTGCAGTGATTTTTCTTGTGTGACGCTCTTGCCTCATCAATTCGCCCATTCAGCGTGATAAGTACGACCAAGTATTCCAAATAAGTTGTGCAAGCTGGTTTATTCTTTAAAAGACATCATTGTAGCAATATGGAATACTGTTGATAGATAAAATTAGGCTCCATGACATTTTTTTAAACGTAAACACACATTTTCTATAAATGTACAACAAAGAAAACTAAGACAATATGTTGAATTAATTAGAAATATTGTTTCATATTCAAGTTAAAAGTACTCACTCCCAGTAGTGGAAAAATCTGTATCGTGTAAGTCTGCCAACCTTCACTAAAGCAGCAAATGATCGTGTTTCCATTACACTTTCAAAAACATACAACGAGGAATGTGCTAAGAGTGGAGCATTCACTAGTGCGGTCTATTATTTTCTTTTAACGTCTTAAAAAACATTCTTCCATCTTTAAGAAATTGTTAGCGAAGCATATTCTCCTTGGCCGTATTAAAAGGAACATGGATTACGCGAACTCCGCATCACCTATTACGAAAATGAGCAGTCTGTCGAGCGTACCCGTCCTTCACGCTTCAAGCGTTCCTTATGATTGTGACGAAGAAATTACCTAATAACTGTGTTATCTCAATAGAACACTTCCCCATATGAAGGAATATATGATAATCTTCTAGACGTTTCATACGTTTTATGTCAGGTAATTTATTGTAGTCTTATTTCCAGCAAGCCATACTGGAGCAGCATGTTGTTTTTCAGTCACCTTATGTAAAATATACACGACGTGGAAATCATTACCATTTATGCTTTTTTAAATCTATATAGATTTTTTCAAAAGTCTTGTTGTAATTTTGTGAAACTACACAAATATATTTGTGATGTATATATACATTATTACCCGTTAGATTCCTACTACTGCGCCTACTATTTACAATTAGCAGATCCTATCGACTTATGTCTTTATAAGAATATAGCGTTCGTATACTTTCGAATGGATATCGTCGTAGTCAAAGATCTGTATTTAAGACATGGTTAGGTTTACAATAACGGCAGACTCAAAATTAATTATCTCCTTCGTCTCTATCAGCTAGTTAAAGTCCAATGCTGGACATAAGCCTCAGTCGTTGTAGTGTGTTATTTATTTTACGTGGTAGAGCCATACTGCAACGAAGTTATGATTGCGGCATCAATGGCTCGGCTCGACCGGGGAAGGAATACGACCACGCTCTAAAAGAATACCAACTAAACTGGGAGTTTAATATTATAGTGTTTCATCCATATTACTTTAAACGAGGAATTCTAACCTAGTTCTTGAGGTGACAACACGGCTGAATTTGGTTCTTAATCCAGGAAAGATGTTGATGTCTGTGAACCACAGAATCCATTTAACATCTAGTAGGCTGTGTGCTCGTGTTTTTTTTTGTCGTTTGATAAAAAAGGGAAGATTCTTCACAATCATTACGGCATCGTATACTGGATTGACGATCGCAGTACCAGACGTCTCGCACCTTTGACGCTGCTCTCCATCGCTGGTCTTGATATTTTACGTCTGGCGTATACAACAATCATTTTGTATACGTCAGACGTAAAATATCAAGACCAGCGATGTCTGTCAGCTAGTGAAAGCCAAGGGATGATTTCGAGGTTCGCGATAGTCTATATGAAGGTATATGAAATAGGGTAATGGAGAATACATGCCTTACGCTGCCTCATCTCGGCGGTCAGGCATAGTAAAATGTTAAGCGTACATATAAATGAACTTCAATTAATTATTGTTTACTCTATTGTATTTCTATACTCTTAATATTTCATAACTAAAGCATTTTAATAAATTAAACATGATTAACAAATAAAATTAACGTTTTTATATATTTACAGCACTTAGCATCCGGCTGGTGGGGAGATTACAGCCTCGCCTGTCAACCAGTTGACTATAGTGACAGTGAAAAAGCCAGGCGGGTAAGTAAAACACATAAAGGTACTTATATTAAATAGACACACAAGTATTTATATTATACTGAAATTAACCTATGTATAATACATTAATACACTACAAAAAATAATAGATTTTATACGTGGTAGAGCCATGCTGCAGCTATATTAATAGTAGTTGTAGCACAAATTAGTCGGCTCAACCGGGGAAGGACGACGCTCTCAGAGAATACCAGCGTAATATAGCAGCTTAATGCTGCTGTGTTTCGTATGGTGAGTGTAGAGAATCGCAGAACCTTTTTACTGGAAAAGAGACATTCCATCTTAGTCCTCACGGGTGGCAACGCATCTACATTTTGATTCGCAAACGCGGATATATGTAAGTGTCTATGGGCCACAGCAACCACTTACCATCAGATGGATTGTGTGCTCGTTTTTCACACTTATACTAAAAAAAAACAATATTTTTTATACAAGTACGACACACGAGCGCTACAGTTTAACTAAAGTTAGTTAGATTCTGTACCTCATAAACACTTACAAAAATATTAGATTAACAATAAAAATTGAGAAAACCGGACATCCTTTAGACCTCCTTTTCTTTGCTGAAGCTTGGTAACAAGGGTCCATGGATTATAGTACCCACTTACCATTAGGTGAAATATAAGCTCGTTTCCACTTAAATATTATATATAGGTAATCACCAGCATCACCATCATCATCATAACATCCCATCACATATCTAAATTAAAACATAGGCCTTCTCCTAGGCAGAAATGATCCTCGAGCATCTGGATCCATGGAATGCATGTCTTGTCAGATTGTCACTGCATCTGAATGAAAATTGCCTCCTGACTCAAAAACATTTCTTGTTGTCAGTTCTTTGTTAACATATCCAATGCTAAAGAGCTCTTAGAATATTAAGCTTCGCAGTCAGCCACCGCAGAGTTTACTTCGCCTGAGGATGCCTCGTAAAGGCCAAAAACGCGTCCTGTTATTGGCAGTGGTATGGCTTTACTAGTGTAGTGTAGTGACCGGGAAAGGACCACGCTTACAGAGAATACTAGTGTAAAATTATAGCTCAATGCTGTTGTATTTCGTATAGTGGTTGCAGAGAACCGGAGAACCTTTTGACTGGAAACGAGGCATTCCATCTTACTCCTCAGATAGATAATGCATCTATTACTATACAAATAATACGTCATCGTACCTCTCCCTTGTAATAAAATATCATCTGCAAGAAGAGTATGTTTGTTTAAAGATATAAAACAAGTGTTCGTGACATCCTCATAGAAAGTGAAAAATACGAGATTACCTCCGAGACGTGACCATAGAGTTACAAACACTAATAGAGGTCTTTAAATAAAAGTAAATTAAGAAATTGACTAGGACATCAAAACCTTTATATATTTGTTTAATTGCTTGTTTATTTTTGTTTACATATATTTTATATAATAACAAAAATTAATATGTATCTTAATTGTATTTATAGATACCAAGATTTTTTAGAACAAGGGTGAGAAACGGGCACTCAATCCACCTGATGGTAAGTGGTTGCCGTGGCCATATAGGCCATTCATATACGCTCACATCTATTATCGATGAAGAATCAAAATGAAGATGCATTATCACCCTTGAGAACTAAGGTTACCAGCCAAAAAAGTCACCAGTTCTCTATACTTGCCAGACGTATAGCTTCACCACGTTAAAACCGGTGGCAATCCCCTCTTGCTCTCAAAATGCTCTATTAATTCTTAATTCGTTATATGACCGACTAAGCTGTCAGCTGCGTTTGCTGTAGTTAGATACTCATAGGTAACACTTTATTGCATTACAACTAAAGTTGGTAATAACGGAAAACTTATGACTTACAAAGGACGGTAATTTCGCTTTAAACGATTTCTACCTAACAACCCAAACCTAAAATTATTATTATTTAAAAGAGAAACAAATTCTAAATAATATTTATAAAAAAAAAAGAATATGGAAATAAAAAATAAACATAGAGTTGAATTGAGTACTTCCTTCTGTTTGAAGTCGGTAGTAGAAAAACTACTGAAGTTTCTAAACGTTTTTCGTTCTACGTTTCGGTCAAGTTCAGTTAATGGTACTTGTCTCACACAATACTATTGCACTTTAGAAAGCTATTTGCGTACAGTGTGCGCCGTAGGAAAGAGAAACGACGGACAATATATTATTGTAAAGAAGTGCGATTTGATAAAAAAAACTTTTTATTTTGCTTGATATATAAACGTTTGTCTGATATTAGTTATTTTTAATTAAAAAAAAACACAATTAAATGTTCTGATTGGTGAACCACACTCGGTCACTTGTAACAAATTGGTTAAGTCAGGTCATTTTCATTATATCTTGTCCAATTAGGTATATGTGATAAAATTTTATTGCAGACTTCTTGAAGAGACATTACGAACAGTATTATATTTATGAATTAACAAGTTAAAAGGTTGAAGAAACTTTACTTACTACTGAAAAGGGAAAATATTTATACCCTATGTCACTTTCAAAACTAACACAAATTTAGCGACATCCCATATGTTAAAATCCATCAAGCCGTTTACGCTACAGAGCATGCCGAAGAAATAGACATAGATACATACATACGCATTTACTTACTCTCGAAAACATTACCCTCTTTCTGGGGCAGTCGGGTAAAAACAAGATGTAATTTTTACTTATTACAACGTGCAATCTAAACTTACGCTCTCATAAAATTTCCAGTAGAAAAAACTCTCTACATGGTTATTTTCGCAAATCCGAAACTTTATACGTGATGACCGCAACCTTAAGTGTTCACACCACAGCAATGAACTTGTGTTGAATGAAGTTCGCATAACGCAGTGAAAGCGCCCGCCCGGTCGCGGCCAGTCGTCTGCGCTGTAATTGTACTTACGTCACTGCATCGCAAGATGGCCTGTAGGCTGTCGAAAGTGAAATTTCTTAAGTGACTGACGCGACGGAACCAAATAAACTCACTCTAATAAAATCGGATGACTGGAACAACTATCATAATCATAAAATTCACGCCTATCACCCAGAGGTGTAATCAAAGGCTTCGGACTTCAATTTGGCACGATCTTGATGCATCTTTCTTGCCTCCTTTACATCCATATACTTACGCGTACATGATCCTCGGTTGAGGATACTCTTAATAAGAAAATTAACACTACAACAACTACTATGTAAGAAAATTCATATTTCAAAGCTACCTATGACATCAGGACGTCAAATACCTCAGTCTTCCCCCTCCCCCGTAACCATGGGTGCTATAAAGCATCCGAAACGTCGGGAAGCGCTTTAAAATCCGTAATATTAGTTTCATATAAATAGAATTTAATTTGCATGGTCTTGGTTGGTTTTTTTTGCCAAAGACCATTTAACGACCAAGTAAATTTCAAAATAAATTAAAAAGGAAGGACATTTCTACATGTGCATGTAATACTACGAGTATCTGGGTAGGTCTTTTTTACTTTTACGAGTATAAGTAGTATTACTATTCCACTCGTTTCTTGTACGCATTATGAAAGACGAAGCAAATCGTTTATTTAGAATACATGTAATATCGACAACAATGAGATGAAAATCCGCTCAACACCTGATTGTCCAATGGTGGAAAATGGAGGGAGAAATTAAGACAATAATATAATTCCTGCGCGCACTTTCAAAAATGCAGCCTATAGAATACCGAGAGGACCGTTACCCGTGCTCGAAGCTGATAAGATTGTTGCAACCAAATCAACATCACCAAATTGAATCCATCGCTAGCAATTTGTTGCAGCTTCTCATATGTGACAGCAGAAATCCAGGCACGAACGGATTTGCACTTTATATAGCTACATCGGCGTGAAGAACCGTCTCATCCTTGCTCCTAGTAACGCATACCTAGTAACCCACTAAAGTAACTGCAAGGATTTGCTCTATACGTCTACTTTGGCCCTGGACTCCATGAACTGCCTCTATAACCTCCTTATCACATATTTGTGACGTTCATCAGGAGTGTGCGCACTGCTCTGTGTTGGTTGTGACTCTCCCTTAAGTAGTATTTCATGAGTCAAATTAAATGTTTTGAAATTGTATGAGAAGACCAAAGCGTAATTGAGTAGGGACGTGGCAAATTAGTCCAAAAATTATCTGATTTGTAAATTTTTTAATATGCGAAATCAAACTTAACTTAATATAAAAAGTGACCAAATTTAAAGACACTACTAAATGTAGTTAATTCTAATTACATGATTTTGTTTAAAAACTAAAGTCTATCTGATGGTAAGTGGCAACAGCAGCCCATGTACACCTACAACCAACTTCAGACAAAGATAGCTACAGGTGCGTTGTCGCCTGTGAGAACTAAGGTAGAATACCTCACAGCCCGTAAATATTATAAATTATATACTGGCTGTCTATACGCTTCCGACCAGAACATAGTACTGCAAACATTGCTTCTTGGCGACACAAATAGTTAAGAGTCTACCTAGAAGAAGTCCTAGGCGGAGGGCGAGTCCTACCAACTAGTCTATGCTCTTTTAGTTTATTAAAGATGGCGTCAACTACCCAATTAATTTCTGTAAATTGCCTTACTTTCCGAGAGTAACTCTTAGTGTGGGATTAAAGTTAAATTGAACAAAAAATATGTAAGACAATGAAACAGAAATTTCTGAACTCTTTCAGGTGTCCATGGGCTACATAAGTCAATTGTTATTAAGAATTTCATTTGTAAATCTTTGTAAAAAAAATTGCTGCAATCACTACACTTAGCTCTATCGCTTCTGTGCTTAAGAAATTGCCTTTCGTCAACGGTCTAGCAATTATGGTTCTCACATATTTTAGATATTCAAGTTATTTTATATATTCAAATACAATTGAGCATTAAATTCTACTAAGTTCATAATATTACATATTATACAAAATATGGTCCTGAGCCACCTGCATCCATTGACTTCCTGCCTTACCAGGTCGTCACTTGCTACTGGCTACCCGTACCATATTTAGCGGTATGAGTCTGCCTTTCTTCCCCATCGGTAGTCAGTGCTTATAGCTATAATACAATCATACTGTAAAATGTGCACGTAACATTCACGTGTATTTTTAAACAAGACATGTGTGGGTGTTTACCCACACATGTCTTTCAGAGGGGTAGGCAGAGACTACGGACTTCCATTTGGCATGATCCTGACACACCAATCTCGCTTCCTCCAGATCCATATACCTACGCATACATGCTCTTTGGTTAAGGGTACACTTAATCTAGCCCATCTTGAATAAAAACTATTATTGTATAATTTTTAAATAAACATGATAGAGATATAGTTGCAAGTGAGTCAATGTAGCTTATAATATAGACTCATATGTAGTTAGAAATATATTATTAACAAAATCATAATGAGATATAAATCTATGAATTAAATTGTCATAGTAGATCAGAAGACTCACTACTCTAATTAACCGAATTTGACTCTCGTATTGCTGGTAATACTGGCGGCTATGTAGCGCAGTGGCTTAGCAATGAGTTGTTGCGCTGGGGGCCGCGTGTTTGAATCCCGCACGGAACAAATATTTGTATGGCATACAAATACTTATTCCGGGCCTAGTTTATCCTATGTTTGTCCTTGTGCAATTTATGTTTGTAAACTGCCTCTACGGTACAGGAGAAAATCCTAGTGAGGAGGTATACTGGAATTACTGATTGAAATTTCAAGTTTACCATATAGTGACTTTTTAAGAATCCACTACCTCATATCATCCCGTGGTTGTCGTAAGAGGCGACAGAGGGAAACGAATCTGGAGATGGATAGCAGCGTCTTCCTAGTTATGACTAAAAATAAAAAACTGCTATTGCCAACCTGCTTGCCAAGCCAGGCAACTATAGCAAATATTCTCCCTTTTGAGACAATGTATGGGGCAGGCCTATTTTTAGCAGTGAACTTTAATAGGCTGGAACAGAACGGAATTTTAAGTAAAGGTTTAGCACGTGCCTAAAGAAAAAAAACGTGAGGACCTGAATATCTAAGAATTAAAAAAATGGCGAAGACATGTAAAATTCGCAAATAAATTAGTGTAATTCGTTTTACTTGTCCCGCTCTAAAACCCTCTCAGGAATGGGAGAGGCCTGTGCATTGCAATGAGATATAAGGAATGTCACTGTTACTGTGCATGAAACAAGCTTATATTGCCTTTTTTCCACGAATGTAACCTTTAAAAATTAAATGTCAGGCCTCAATTTCTTTCAATTTCAATTTCTCATGTCAATATCGAACAAGCTTTTCTGAAAATTTCGTAAAAAAGAGGGCTTTCTACAACGATATATTTAATGACATACCATAATAATTTATTTATACAATTTAATTACTATTCTTAAATTAGCTATTTCTGAGTAATAGATACCTCAAATATCTTCTTTTTCAAGAGCCTGTTAAAGAGTTTTAAAAAGCTGGTCTTTTGTAACCAAGTTGGTTATATCCCCATTTATTGGAAGCCATAAAAGTTTTATGAAACTTACAATAGTAACTCTAACAGCACATGGGTGCTGCCATTCCGTCAACAAACGGAAGGCATATACAATTTATAAGCTATTATGTTTCTTTTATAGGAGAGAGGTTAAGCGAGCATACGGCTCACCTGATGGTAAGTGACTACCGCCGCCCATGAACAACTGCAACACCAGGGTAACCAGGAGAATAGCAGATGCATTGCCGGCCTTTTAAAAAGGAGTAGGCTCTTTTCTTGAAGGTCCCTAAGTCGTATTGGTCCGGAAAAATCGCTGGTGGTAATCAATTCCACAAGGAAGTTGTGCTAGGAAGAAAACATCTTCTAAATCGCACAGTGGTGGACCGCCAATCATGCAGATGGTATGGATGGTATCGCGAGTTTTGTCGCGATGTGCGATGGTGAAATAGAGCGGCTGGAATTAGTCCGAACAATTCCTCAGAACGCTCCCCGTGGTAAATGCGAAAGAAAATGCAAAAAGATGCAACATCTCTTCGCAGCGTCAATGAATCGAGCCGATCGGAAAGAAGTCGGTCGTTGACGATTCAACCCGCTCTGCGCTGGATGCGGTGGAAAGTGTGGAAAGAGGTGGAAAGTGGAAGGAAGTCTGGTAGAGAGAAGAAGAAGAAGGTGATACCTAGTACAAACGTTGGACTAATAATGATTAGATAAACAAGGCAACCAATTTAAAGAACTAAAATTAGCATCATCATCATCATTATAAATGTAATATGTAATCAAGCTCCAATACAATTTAGTTTGTTGTATAGAAGAATCACATATTACGAGTATTATACCGTGCTTGCATAAAAGGACAGAGGGTAATTAAAAAAGAGTTAGGCCCTTACACCTTCCTGAAAAAGCGTAAAATACTAAATATAGTTGCCAATACATCTGCTAAGCATGGTCATCATCATCATCATCATTACATACTATTATTACTTCATAAGTCTGTTACATCAGGCCTAAAAACATGTCCACTAAGTCAAAGTAATCTCCTCCATAAGGTAATCTATGGAGGTTTATGTTCAGTTTTTGTCTGCAAAGAAATATATTTACTAAACATATTTCTTAATTCCTCAGATGCTCCAACTATGCTGGGTGTACTACTTCTCGAAGCTATCAGAGTTCGCCGACACAATATTCTTCGTGCTGCGGAAAAAGAAGAGTCAGATTACGTGGCTTCATCTCTACCACCACTCGCTAACGCCATTTGAGGCATGGCTTCTAGTCAAGTTTATTGCTGGTAAGCTCTGATGTGAATTAAATATATGTAAATTTATGATTAATTCTAACACATTCACCGCAAACACGATTACGTTTAGATGTATTTAGATAAAATAAAGCACTACAATTAAATATGCTAACTTGTCTATTATCTTAGTCGATCTTTACATTTATTTCATTTTTAAACTAAAATTAAATTAATAATGTTAACATTAGACTTGGTCATCGCTACATCTATTTTTCCTTGTTGTAAACATTTTATAATTTTCAATTATATAATATTAAGTTAGTGAGTAAAACTTTTTCTTTTATTTAGTCAACCACATTTTTGTTCTACTTGCATTGTATTAACGAGTTTGACTTAAACATTTTTCTGCAAATAATTTATAATTCACAAGCAATTCAAATATTACGATTAAATGAAATGTCTTCATATAGTAGGTTATATTTTTAATTAAATTAAATTCATTGTAAATTGTAAATTTAAATAAAAATACGTTACATTATTTGAATAAAATGTTTGTAGACATTTTTTGCGGTCGGTGCTAATTTTTAAACTAAACATAGAAAATATTTTTTACGAACAGTATCTGTTCTGGTGTACAGTATTGTATAATCACTTCCCTTCCCCAAGATCCATTAGATCCATATCTTTATATGTTATTAAACTCTTACTTGATGATACTAACCTTTAAATTTTATCTAAAAAATACAAAATTTAAGTCTAACATTTTTAAAATGATAATGCCAAGGTATTTAATAATATTTGTAAAAGTTTCAAGTAAATAGTGTACATCCAAATTATTCATAGAATATAACTAAAGTTTCTAAGTGTAACAGGGAACGCTATCCAACATGTGCACTATTTATTTACCAATCATCATTCGTTCATTACTCTCCCATGGATTGCCTCACAGGGGTGATTTTGCCCTAGTTGCCTCGCTAAGCTATGTAAGCAAACATAGTTTTTTGTTATTTTCAGTTTTTGTGTTAGTGTGGCTGTCCTAAAATGGAAATGGGAGGGAAGAATTAAATTACATAGTTTCACACTCTAATCGTTTGTTTCCAGGTGGCCATGGAACATTCTCAAACATCGTTAACAATTTGGTGCACGTGATAATGTATAGCTACTATATGATGGCCGCCATGGGTCCTCAATATCAGAAATATCTCTGGTGGAAGAAACATTTAACAACCCTGCAACTAGTAAGTATAGCTTGATAGAATTACATTTTAAACTTTATTCAACCAACCTTAAAGAAATCTTCTTTCATGTCAATCCGGTCGTAAGTGGACGCTGTGTCCCTTAGGTATATTACATCTATACATGGATAAAAATCAAAATGCAGATGCGTTGTCACCCGTTAGGAATAAGATATGTTCTTGTAATGCCTTGTTTCCAGTAAAAAGGATGTGCAGATGTGCTATACTAATTAATTTAAATTAGTGTAGAGAACCGCGACTAATCAATTAATTTGTTAATTGTAATTTAAGGTGTTGATTTGCTTGACAGAGCTATTTCGAGTTTAATTCGATTCGATTCGAGTACAGTTCGATTTCCGCCAGCATAATTTAAACTGTTAATTGCAATTTTAAGTGTTGATTTACCACAAGCTCGAGAGCTCTAGCTGTCCGCCAACATGCACTGTAGCAACGCGGCGGACTACATACACCATAACCCTGTTGAAAATGAGAAAAGTCATATCTTTAGGAAGTGGAACGTATATCGAATGTAACTTATATACTTTACATAATTTAATATCGATATGAAAACAGTAACTATTAACTTATCTATTAAAATTGTATATCATACAATTAATCATGATATAAAACTTAAATACCTTAATCACCAAAAGTCCGATTTAAATTTTTAATCCATACTACCATTTCAAATCCTTAGTCTGTTTATTTTATTACAACACGCTTTTATTAACTTAACCTGTTTGTATTTATGTATCAATGTAACAACTGAATAATATTCAAGAAATTATTGTATTGTTTTTGGAAGTGGGTTATAACCGAAATTACAAAATTCTGTTCTATCCATACACATACTAGATACAAACAGGACAAGTTAATATGTGATGTGTAAAAAAACAGTTATTTTTCGTTAATTAAAGGTTATTGATATCTAACGACGAGTTTAATCAAAATAGTTTTTTAATGTCATTGATTTAAACAAAACTCAAATAAATTGATCATCTACCTCATAATATTTTAAGCATCGGAACGACTACGCACAATTACGTACTATTTACGAGTACTTACCTGTTAAAGATCGCTCAACCGCACCTAGAACTAGTGACGGGATTTACGCTTGCGCAAATTTCTCAGCATGCTGTGAACGGCCGAGAAACCTTTTAGCTAGTTGAATATTAAAATCAATTATTTGATTTCCATTTAGTTCTGAAAAATCTCCTTAAGAATTATTTTAAATGTTTATTTTCATAGGTGTGATTTTTTCTGCTTTTACCATCACTTTCTGGTACGGTGACTAATTGAAAAATTTATTTTTATTTTCTTATATATTTTCAAAATTCTTACAGAACCAACTTGTCGCTAAACAAAACGTTTAAAATAAATTCGCGGTTAAATGTACACTTAAATATGTACGTATATATACATTGACCTAAATATGTACACTTTCCTAGCTGGTATGACTCCCATTCTGCCTGGGAGTCCATACTAGATAGGTAATAGGACTGATAGGTATAGATCACCTTCTTATCTAATTCTACCACTAAATAATAGTGCTTACACTGGTGTCTTTGAGAGATCCAGTATAATTAGAGGTTGTGAGGTATTCCATCTTAGTCTTCAGAGGTGACAAGGCATCTGCAACCTTCTTTGTTTCAAATTGGGCTGGCCATAGACTGTAGAAATTACTTAATGTCAGGCGGACTTTAAGCTTGTCACAGTTACATAAAATAAAATAAAACAATGTTTATTACTATTAAAAAAAAACATATTTGAAAATCTTCCATTAGCGCTAGAAACAAAAATATCAAACAACTTTAAAAATTTAAGATATTTTAAATTAAAATTATTTCAAACCATTAATTTATACATGGTTATATATGCAAGCTCTTACTAAAAAGCACTGTTTATTTTCGTTTAATCTATACAACGCGTAAATAAAATTGAAGTATCTGCATATAACATCATTCTATTGAGCTCATGTGTTTATTTCTATGCTATTAAGACAAATAACTCCTCCAAAACTACACAAATATTATTTATAACTATTATATTAGGAATTTATTTTATTATCTTTCAAGCATATGAATGTTTTGAAGCATCTTTTACTATTGCTGATAGTATTTATGGATCAATTTTTTATAACAACAGGATTTCGCGGACTGCATGCTCTAATAACATGTTTTTTTTTATCACTTAAATAACCCTTTCTCAAATAAACATCACTTTCGATTTTAAGCAGCAGCATAATTTTGAAATTTTTTGATGTAGTATCATTATTCGTTTATATTTCTATTTATTGACGTGGAAAGTAATTTATTTATATTGTTTATATAGTATTTTACATTGTAGAGCCATGCTGCAACTATATTAGTTGTAGCACGAATGGGAAATGGTGGGGAAGGACCACGCTCTCACAGAATACCAGCGTCAAATAGCAGCTTCATGCTGCTGTGTTTCGTATGGTGAGTGTAGAGAACCGGAGAACCTTTTGACTAGAAAAGAGGCATTCTATCTTAGTCCTCACTAGTGACAATGCACCTGCATTTTGATTCGCAAACGAGGATAAATGTAGATGTCTATGGGGCACAGCAACCACTTACCATCAGGTGGACTGTGTGCTTGTTTGTCATCTTATCCTATAAAAAAAAGTATATTTGATAACCAATCAAAAAATTTAATATATTTTTAATATCAATAATTATTTAATTATTATATAATGTTAATAAAGAACTATCCGGGGTAATATTATTAATAACAAATCTAATTGTGACAAAAACTTTACAAACAGATAGGGAGTAATGCCTGAACTAGGCTATATTTTTCCCTAAAAGCGTGGAGGATTTTTTTAAATCCTTGATTTGATTTTTTTATGTTTAAGTTCTACGTGGACGAAGTCGCACGTCGCCTTTTATAAACTCACCTTGTATTAATGTCTACCGTTACCTTTGCAGGTACGAATAATTATACATTATAATTACGGTTGCGAACAAAAAAAATACTCACTTAAATTTTCCTTCAACATTTCATAAACTTCAAACATATAGTTTATGAAATGTTGGTAAATGTTCATAATTTACGTCCTACTTCATATGATCGGATGGTTTGATAAGGCGATTTGTAATTACAAAAAGAGATACATTATTAATGATATTTTATACTAACAATTATTTTATTGTTATCCTACACAAATTATTATTTTTCATGATTCGATTTCTGCATCAAATTTATCTTTAAACGGATTTCTTTTCCTGTAGGTAGTAGGATCTTACCTATTCATTACCAATAAACCTAGCAAGCTAACAGCATAGAAAAGTGGCGAAGCAATCAGCTTTGTAGCGGTTTCTAACGGTTGCCGTTGAGCAATCAGTTTCAAAATAGGAGGTTCAGATGCCTGGGTGATCAGTAATCGATTGCTGAAAACAGAATTTGAAAATTCGAAACCGTTCTCGAGATAATCGTGGGACAGACGGACAGACGGACAGTCATCGTGAAATCAATAAGTGACTTAACAAGCTTCGCCACTTAATAATGATTTTTTTTTATTTACACTATTACAAGTATTAGAATAATATGATCATCCGTTTAATATGGACACTTTCTTATAACTCAAAAACAACACAGTCTTTTTTGCATAGATGGCTCTATAATACGATAGCTCTACATCAGTCAATCAAATAATAAAAGGTCAAAAAGGGGCTACTTTATCTACGTTATTTTCACCGTTGACTTTATAGTAAATATGGTCATTAACTGTTTTTTTTAAGTGGATTTTTCGAAGTGTTTCTAATTATTGCCAAAGCTTATATGCTATTTTGTCTCCGTCCTATTCTTGGTTTTGGTTTTATAGACCGGCATAGCGTATCGTAACCATATTACCCTCACTTGTCATATATATTAAAATAAAACTAATTTTACGGATTTTGTCACGTACAATTTAAATTGTTTTTACTTATGTTAATTTTGGGTGCTTTACAGCAAAAACAGTACTTTGTAGTAAAATTAGTTTTATTTCATTATTTCTTTCCTATTTTTTTACTCTATTCACTCTATTTTTTTCTCTATTACATTGTTCTTGGTTCCGATCAGAAGAGTATAGAGAGGCAGTAATCTGTAATTTGGAAGTGTGGTATTCCAATTAGTTCTCATTTTAGCACTTTTTGTTTGAACTTGTCTGTAGATGTCCATGGGCTTGAGTAGCCACCAGGTGTACCGCTAATCTGTTTGTTTCTTAATTTTTATAAAAAACATTTAGGTACCACCAGTTAAATCTTTTTTTTTTTTTGCTTAGCCCAATGCCAGATTCTATCAGGTAAATAATCATATAACTGACGAATTGACAAAGGCATTCCATTTTTGACTTTAGGGATTAATATGATTCTGTACAAGGGATCATCTCTTGGTATAACTAGGTCTCGCATGTCGTTTCGTGTGGACATTTAATTCCTACTGGCAATATTAATACTTGTCATTAAAAAAAAATAGGGCCACTCATTGTTAATTTTGATCGTGGAGACACATATGTCTAGATATACTTTTACGTGCTTTTGATGATTATCATGAAAACACTTATGATATATCAGCAATTCGTAATGTAGATGTATTCATTACAAAAGGGGGCTTAGCTTAATTCACGCCTCTCCCTTCTACCAACCATAATTGACCTTACTGTTATTTAAAGCGCTAAACTTTTATTATTGTTATTATTATTATTATTGTTATACTAACATCTCTATGGACTGAGTCTGAATAAAATATTATTATTATTAAAACACGTACGTAGAATATGAGCGTTTCAACACAAATGACATTGAAAACATAAAAAGATTTATAATGAATTGCTAAATACCGGAGCAATAGTACTTACTGCAAATGCGCAGGCAACGATCAACGTTACAACATATCAAGCAGCGGAACGCCGCGCCGTATCCCTTCTCTGCAATGCAACCGCTTTATACGACATTCCGCTGTAGGCTCGGAAATCGCGGAAAACCCACACGCGTGTACATGCGTGTGAGTGGTTCCGTTGAAGGTACACCGTTACGAATTTACATTATCAAATTAATGATTCTGAAAGTTTTCGGATGTATTTGTGTAACTTAAAAGTAGTAGATTACTTACAACTAAGAGAACTTTAAAAGAACCAATTTAGTAGATATACAATTCATTGAAAAACCTTCATTGAAAAACCCTGTCTGATCTGTGACGGTACTTTTAGGTAACGTGTTATGATTCGGTTTATTTTATACTTTTCATGTAATAATTTAAAAAAAATCACCACAAAAATTAAATAATGTTTAATTAATGGGAAACTTGCATGCCAATATATGAAAGGCAACCCAAGGGTAACAATACCTTAAGTATTGTTACCCTTTGTTATGTATAGATATACGTGAAAAGACATGCCGACATTGCCGACGACGGCGTTGCTAGATTTTAAAACTGAAAAATCTAAAGCTAATTGTAGTAAAATTATGCATTTTAAATAATGATATTTTTTATATTTTTGAATATTATATTTTTTTCTTTTGTTTTTGGTGTCATCGTTATCGTAGACATCTGCCCTTTTCGAACCAGACAGGGTTTTCATTCATTATTGCATTGTATTAGGAGCAATGACGTCCACGTAATTATTAAAAGTCATATTTTAAAATAAAATCCACGCATAGAGTTAAGGGTCTTATATATTTTTATTATTTATTTATCATTAACAAGTTCAATACGGAAGCATATTATTATGCTAAAATAGTATATATAAACTACAAAGGTTTGTAAATAATGCCATCATCTACTATTTCCATAACGGTTTTATAAAAAAAATTCGTAATATTTTATTTTTCTTTATCGAAACATTGTGTTACAAATAATTTTAAAATCGTGCTAAATTTATAATTATGATAACTTACGTAATTAAATAACTAGATGCTTGGTACGTTCATTTCTAAGTGTCAAGATCGGTGGTAAGTAAGAAGTAAGATTTTAATTTTGTCATAATATTGTAGATAGGTCATAAAAAATTCTAACTATTGAAATCATCAAGTCTAGGTTTGCAATGCACGTCTCGTGAGTTCGACAATGATTTAAAATCTTATTATTTACTTTTTATGTTAATGACAATTTTGTTTTTAATGTATGTACATACGTAAATTGCATAGCGTGGGTAATACTTAAGCTGGGCTTATTATATTATAATTTAGTTGCACAAGTTATATTATGCTACCAATTTGTATATTGTACCCAACAATCGCCTAGAAGTTGACGTTTTAACTAAAGGTACCTAATTCTAATAACAGAGGTAACGAGAGATTTCTACATGCGTACCGTTGAAGTCTTTCGTAAGTGCGCCAACCAAGTACGAACTCTACGTTAGATAGCGAAGGCCGAATTGAAATCGGATAAGCCATAACAGGTGTTACTGCCTCCACAAGAAGTGTGTTGACCGAATTGCTATTAAACACTTCGGATTCTATCGCTACTTCATTTCTCAAATGACATTTCAACTGTTGGTGACGGACATTAGTTATTCCGCAATTATTTTATGTGGTAGTATAATTCAAGTGAAAATATTTTAAACGTAAGAAACTTATTTTTACACTTCTAAATTATAATTATAATATATTATGGTGCAGTGGCGGTGTAAGAATATTCATTACTCCATATCATCCCGTGGGTGTCGTAAGAGTTGACAGAGGGAAACAAATCAGGAGATGGGCAACAAGGTCTTCCAAATAATGATTGAAAAAAAACTGCAGTTGCCATCACGCGTGTCAAGCGTGGTAACTATGGCAAATATAACCCCTACGGGACAATTTATGTGGGAGACCTATGTTCAGCAATGGACTATAATAGGCTGTAACGGTAAATTTTCACCTTCTCTTTATTTTGATTCTGAGGAAAGTGAAAACAAGTGAGCATATATTTTTAACAGTTATTAAAGTTCAACATTGTAAACTCGCTCAACAGAATATCAAAAGAATCGTAGTTTCTCTGCATAATAAAACTCAAAATGTACCATAAAATTGGGTACCACCAGGTTAGATAGGTATTCACTACATCGGAGGATTCAGGTGTCTCAGCGCCGTGTTTTGTAGTAATCCTTGGAGAGGATTTTGTTCAGCAGTAGACTTGTGAAGGGCTGCAGTAATAACAATATGAGTAATTGTAACAAACAACTACATTTTTTAATAGGATAGGGTGACAAACGAGCACACAGTCCACCTGATGGTAAGTGGTTGCTGTGGCCCATAGACATCTACATCTAACCTCGTTTGCGAATCAAAATGCAGATGCGTTGTCACCCGTGATGGAATGCCTCTTTTCCAGTAAAAAGGGCCTCCGGTTCTCTAAACTCATCATACGAAACACAGCAGTGTTAAGCTGCTATTTTACGCTGGTATTCTGTGAGAGCGTGGTCCTTCCCCGGTCGAGCCGACCCATTCCTGCTACAACTATACTACTAATATAGCTGCAGCATGTCTCTACCACGTCTAAAAATTTTAAAAACTTAACACGTTACTATGCATAATCATACAATATCATTTGTAATGAGAAAATTTAAATGATCGATATTATACGTGGTAAAAGCACGCAACACGTCTATTATTTGTTTACAAGTGTGTTATGGCTGCAGCACGAATTGGTCGACTTGACAGGAGAAAGTCCACGCTATGAATAAATACTAGCATAAGAAAGTAAAGAAAAATTTAATTTACAGTCACACTTCTGGACCTGCTTATTTCTTAAGGATGAGGAGAAAGTACAGCGTACTGCCCCAGTGCGTGTACACGGACTTCACATGTTCTTGGATTTTGATAATTTCAAAGTAGTAAATAAGCTCTTAAAATTCTAATTTAAAATTGTTATATTATTTATTGTGATTTACAGTACTTATTTACTATTTGGTCGGTTTTTGTTCCGGCAGGAATTGAGCTCATGTTGCTCGCGTACTGTGAAATTAAGGCGAGCGCTCAGCCCCTTAGCTACCACGACTTTCTGCTGAATGCATTTAAATATTAAAAATAAACGGTGACATAGACTTTTTCCATGTGAATATTTCAGATTTTTTATTTTACTATTTGCCACTAGTGTTCGAAATTCGAGCTAAATTTTTTTATTTTTACATTTGTATATTAAGCAAGCCGTATTTTACTTTCAAGTGAATATTAATATTAAAAATGTAAAATACTAAATATAAAATAAACGCATTTTTAGCTTGACACAAAATAATACACATACCTTAAAAGTTCATAACATATTTAGTCAATCCTAAGTCAGTAATAATTTATGTTATTCTAAAATTCGTTGGCGACAATCTCTACTCTTTGTGTATGTTCAGTACAGGCTATTAAGTGTTTAACACAAGCCTTATTGAAATAACGTAAAAACAATGCTTTGTTTTAATTATTGTTTTGAGCAATGTTTGTAATTACTCTGAGACATTGATAGTATGAATGTTAACAAACGACTTAATTTAATTCAAGCGACAATTATGTATTTGACATTGGTAGCATGGAAATAAAAGTGAATGTGTTATTTTAAGTATTAAATTCAGCATATTTTCAACACATATAATATATTAATATACGTATGCATATAACATAATATATACAAATTTCAGCTTTTTGCACTCCTTCTCCATACAAATTTTAATATTTCTGAATCTCACACACCTCCGTGCGCGCAATATGCTTAAAAAGGAATTCAAAGTTTTCCCTTCACGATTAATGAAGATTATATATTAATGAAGAATATAGATTAATGAAGAAGATACTAATACAAGCCTTCTTTTTGTTACAGGTACAATTCTTTATGGTACTTTTCCACTCTATGAGTGCCTTAGTTTATGACTGCGGATATCCCAAGTAAGATTTCGTTTATATTTTTCTTGTACTTCATCTTCATCAGCAGTATTAGGTCATGGTGTCCGATGTAAATCGTCCAGAAATGTGCTTACTGAGAATTGGTCTGAGTTCCTTAGCATGGTAGAGCTAACAGCCAGTATCGCTAGAAAAGACTTTCTGTATTGGCTACGCTTTCTTGGCGGATTTGCGATCGCAATACCAGATTTCTTACAACTTACCGCTTAACTTAAAGCCAAGAATTCGATCTGGCTTTTACCATAGCCGCCTTTTACGAGACTAATAGCACGATGCAATTTATCTAATTGTCTGTTTTATTATAATATATCTTATTTTACTGCCTCGTCTTATTATTTTTAAACCTTTGTTTTAGGCTCATCGCATCAGGCCTGATTCTTCATTCAACAATATTCATCGTTCTCTTTACGAACTTCTACATTCAAGCGTATAAGAAGGATAAAACAAAGCCAGCTGCCGTGAACAACAACAACAAAGGAGAAGGAGCAACTACCAACGATACAAAAACCGGTGAACACGGACATATGAAAATAAACGGTCACCTCACTTGTAATGGTCATTCCACAGTCAATGGACTTATCGCAGCTAACGGTCACGTTTTAGCCAACGGACATACGAGTGTAGTGACAAAAGTACCACTCAATGAAGAAGCTCATCACGGAATGAACGGTCATATCAGAAATGGCTTCACCAATGGCCATATTGGGAGAGATACACATACAGAAAAAGAAAAATTGCAATAGCACTCTGTGATCACTATTGACTATACTATGCTTTTTGTGATCAGTGTTTTGTTATGTACTTATGTAGCACCTTCAATCGGCTCTTAGAGGCTGTCAAATATTATTATTAGAGAAGGAATTAGAAGCAATGTATAATTACATTAATTGTGTAAAAAGACCCATAAAATGATGGCATGCAGTAAAATGTGTATAAATTTAATAGAGATGTTTATGTATAATATTTTTAATTAATATTGAGTCTTTCTAGATGTTTTACTTATTATTTTTGATTTTTCTGATATTTTCAGAAAAAATAAATATAACCAAATAGTCGAATTAACCATAAGAAAGATCAAATAATAAATTTTACAAGAAATAATTTAAAAAAAAATTTCAAACCGAGCAGTAGGCACATAACCAGAGTTACACCAATAGGATGCTTCCACAATCAAATAAATTGTTTGATTATAGTAAGCAATTAGATATCTTCGTAGAAAGTATGTAATTTTATTGTAAAAATAAATGTTAATGGGCATATTCACTTGGCAATACAATCGTATCAAAATCTGATGCACGAAATGAATTGTTTACTTGTTGACAGAGACCGTAGCGATTTATTATATTCTTTAATTTACCATATACTTATTTATATGTAATTTTTATTTCAAATGAAATATATACATATATATTTTTTAAATTATGAAGAAAATGCATTGAACTCAATTGTTCTATGTAACTCTGGTTAAAAATATAGATCAAGCCATACGAGATATTAATGCTACTTTTATTGAATCAATAAAAGCAGATCTAAATATTGTAATAATTGTGTAAATTAGAATTAATTCTTTGTTATTATTACAATTTATGAAATAATCGTATATATGTATTGTTTGCAACATCTGATTTATATTCCAGTGAGCTGCATAGCTCAGGCATAAAAACATCAAATAGCTTTGTGATATAACCTTACAAAGTACCTGGTTTTGTAAAAATCACATGTTTATGAGATATTCTGCCCTTTATTAGCTTGTATAAAGCAATATTGGGACTTATGTACTACATAAGTTTCAATTGATTTTTTTCCAAGTTATCCTTCTAGAAGTTTACTCAAAATGAAATAAAACATTTTTAATTCATTAATTAATGGTAATTAAAACTTTCTAAATTTTTAACATAATTTTTTAAAAATTTTCAATGAGAACAATTTTAACTACCTCAATTCTTCCGTCCTATAATTTCTAATACCTACTCCGTCCATTGAAGCTTTATTTAATCTTAACTCTAAATGATAGTTTAATTTTGGTCAATCAATCATTGCTTCATTCTGGTGTTTGAATTTATAAGTAAATATTTTTTATCTTCATTTTAATCACTATAGTATGTGAGGGTAATATGGTCATCCGGTTAATATGGTCACTTTTGGACTACGATAGCTCTTCATCAGCCATTCAAATAATAAAGTGTCAAAAGGGCGACGGCTTATCGACGCCATTTTGACAGTCGATATTATAGTAAATATTTTAGTCAATTTTAATATTGGGTAGTGTAGTTAGTTTTCTTTAAATTGATTTTTCGAAGTGTTTCTAATTATTATCAAGGCTTGTTTGCTATTTTTTATTAAATATATTAGTTACAGTATACAAAGTTATACTTTTGTCTCTGTCCTCCTCCTAGTTTTGGTTTTATAGGGCGGCAAAGCTTAAGGTGACAATATTACCCTTACGTACCTTAGTAAATTTCTAATAACGTTGTTAATCTGTCCCGACCCACCATTTGTTAGGGAAACAATTTCGGGATTAAAAAAAATCAATGTTACTAATACCTTATGGTTTTATTAGAAATCAATCAAGTATAATTATTCATTTACATTATTATAGCTCCCGGTGGAAGACAAGGGCTATACAACCCTATAGTTAATTAGTGTTTAGATGCCAATATATACCAGTCAGTTATAATAAGTAATAATGTAAATTTTGTATAAATAGTGATTTGTATACAAGTGTAGCTTATAAGAATTATAAATATAAAATATTATTTTTGAAGAAAAATGTATTAAACTTTTATACGTATAATAAATATATACTCGTATTTGATGTGTTTGAATATTATTATTAATCTTAAAACAATCCATTCTGTAAAATGTTACCTCCCAAGATAGTCCTGTACATTATTGTACAGTATATATATAGTCCTATACAATAATGCTTTGTGGCATTCTTTGGGGGAGGCCTATGTTCAGTAGTGGACTTGTGAAGGGCTGTAATGATGAATGATGATGAAATAATGTACAAGACTATCTTGGTAGGTCCACATACTACTCAGATTCCTTTACGGTATCATCAATTGCTCTTTGGAATAACTTTCCACGATATTTAAAAGATGCTCCCTCAATAAATACATTTAAACGTAAGGTTGAGGCACATTTTTTAAAATTACATGATTAATGTTATAGGTTTATATAATATTATAGTTTCCTATACTAGATTGTATGTATTTTATTGGTATAGTATGTATTTTTATTTATATGCGTATATACATTTGTATATATTTATATATGTATATATGGGTGTATAAGAAGTGTAAGTATGTATAAAGTAACATATTTATATTATATTATAATTTTAAATGATATGTGAAAATAAGTAAGTTTTTTTCTGTTGCGGCTCTACCCATAGCTCTCATTATACTACCAAAGGTTAGCTGGCAGAGAATGCCTTTTCGGTATTAAGTTCGCCTTTGTACCAAATGTTTGTTTATTTTAGTGCAATAAAAAATCTTTATATCTATCTATAATGCTAAAGATAAATTGGCTATCAGCTTAGATTACAAGTCAACTATGGAAATCCCCTCATGAGGCTTGGGACATCTAAGGATGGAGAGATCATAGAGTACTTTATATACACCTGAAGGTATAGATTTATTTATTTACACACACACACACACACACACACACACACACACACACGCACGCACGCACGCACGCACGCACGCACACACGTACACGCACACACGCACGCACGCACGCACGCACGCACGCACGCTCGCACGCACATCCGCACGCACGCATGCACGCACGCTGGCACGCACGCACGCACGCACGCTGGCACGCACGCACGCACGCACGCACGCACGCACACGCACGCACGCACTCACGCACACACACACACACACGCACGTACGCACGCACACGTGCACGCACGCACGCACACACGCAAGCACGCACGCACGCACGCCCGCACGTACGCACGCACGCACGCACGCCCGCACGCACGCACGCACGCACGCAAGCACGCGCGCGCGCGCGCGTACGCACGCACACACACACACACACACACACACACACACACACACACACACACACACACACACACACACACACACACACTTAACAACTATCCTTACAGGTTAAACAAACTCTCTACAATAGTGTCGCTAATCTACTTAAATATACCATGTATTACAAATAACTTACATAATTCCCTCGTGAACTTTGTTCACTATGAGGATTGTTCGGACTAGAGGTGAGGTACTAAGCAAATCGGTCCTAGCGGTGGGCGGCGCCGCCTCCTCACGTATCGCCACACGTCCGATGCGCACAGCTGCAGGTGGCGCAGCACCCACGTGTTGCACGCGGTGCCGCGGAGCAACTTCACTACGTAAGCAGGCAGGGCAAACTCCCTTCTCACACTGAGCTGGTTGTACATGTTTTAACAAACGACGGCTGGCAAGCTTAACTCTGCTGTTTAGATAGGACGTATGATTTTTTTACATCACCGCCAACAATTTTTCTCGCCTTTAATAAAATAAGGGTGGCAAACAAGCACAAAGTCCTCCTGATGATAAGTGGATGCAGGCACATAGATATCTACATCTATTATCGATTAAAAATTAAAATGCAAATTCATTTTCACCACTAAAGACTAACAAGTGTCCTAGGTTTTTACACACACCATATGAAACACAACAGAGTTAGGCTACTATTTTAGCTGGTATTCTGTGAGAGCGTGGTTTCTTCCTCGGTCGAGCTGACATATTCGTGCTACAACCATAATACAGAGGGAGGAATTAAATCATGTAATTCCTGCGCACACTCCCCGGAATGTATCCAATAGAATAACGTGCGGCGGGTTACTCTACGCTTGTGCTCTAGGCTGTCAAGATTTATGTATGTAAACACAATAAGATACAGAAACAGTCTTATAGTGAATTTGTACAAAGGTTCAACTTATTCCATAATTGACTGAAATATCTTCCAGTAGACCCACAAAGGAAAATTTATTAAAAAGGCAAGCTTAGTGCACACATTACTACTACTAATTAATAAATATTATATTAGGTCCTTACATATGTAATTGTCATTTTGTACGGGAGGAATATAAAGTTATTTTTTTTTTTGTAAAATATTTTTAATGAATCAAAGTATGCACCGTTGTTATCTATGCACTTTTGCCATCTCATTGGTAGTTCATTGATCCCTTTACTAAATAAACTATGGGGGCGAGAATCAATAAACTCTTTAAAGGCGGTTTGGACTGCCGCATCGGAGTTGAATTTATTTCCTTGTAAGAAGTTGTCCAATTTTCGAAAAAAATGGTAATCTGTTGGAGCAAGGTCTGGGGAGTACGGTGGATGTCACAGACATCACAATTGTAGCTCATCTAACTTAGTGATGGTTTGTTGTGCAGTGTGTGGTCTTGCGTTGTCGTTAAGCAGCAGTGGCCTAGAGCGGTTGACCAATCTCGGTTGTTTAGCAGCTACTTCTTCTCTTATGGTTTGCAGTTGCTGACAATAGATATCTGCCGTAATCGTTTGGCCAGATTTTAGAAAGCTGTAGTGAACGAAACTGGCGCTAGTAAACCAAACACTCACAAGTAACTATTTCTGAGTCTATTTTCGTTTAGGGCAGGATTTTGCTGGGTCTCCAGGGTTGAGCCATTGTAACGAGTGCTCTTGATTATCGTACAGTATCGACTTTTCATCACAAGTAATGATTTGATTTAAAATCCCTTCATTATTGTGTC